TCCCGCTCCTTGCGCAGACGGAATTCTGATGCTGGCGTGGGGATGACGATGGGGGGGGGTTTGGCCTTGGTCGGTCGGTCGGTCGCCGCAGGCACGCGGTTGTTTTGGTCGTGGCGCGTGGGGAGAAGGCGCTAGTCCTTTTCAGGATGACAACTTCCAGCTTGTCCCGCCAACTCGATTGCTACAATGAGTTGGTGAGAAGCACCAAATGCCAGGATTTTGGTATATACAAATGAATTTATTCACATCTGGCATGATTGCCTATATTCTTGTAACAAGTCTATGTACAGTCCACCCCACTTTTCAACACTCAGCCATGCCCATCACACCTCATACTTATAATCTTTTTACAAAATGAGTTTCTCAATCGCTATGCAGGCTCCGGGCCTCTAAGCGTACCTGTCAACGCCCGAAAGAACAAGAAAAAAAAATAAAGCAATATACCCCGCTTGGCAAAAAAGGCTGCAAGAATACAGAGCATATGTAACAAGATTACAATGCAGAACATAGTCTACGGGAGAGCAGGGACATCTTCAGTGGGCGGGGCCAGACTGCCTTCAATCCGACGCTTCGCAGACTGCATCTCCTCAAGAGAGATATCCTCGGATTTCTTGGGCATGTCCGGTTCGAACTGAGGAATATCGGGACGATGACCCACAGACATGCCGACCCGGATCTATTTTGAGGAAAGGCCGTGTTAGCTTAAGAATCATGCGTAAGGAGCAGTAAGGGGTTGTCTTACCAAAGTTTCTAAGGGCCCCTTCGAGTTGTCCACTAAGTCACTGTCGAAATTAATCGACCCCTCCTCAAAGAGCAAAAGAATGGTACTTCCTCCAAACTTAAAGTAACCGAGCTCTTCGGCCCGTGAAACCTGCTCCCCAGCCTTTCGTGTAATGACTGTGCTTCCAACCATCATGGCTCCAACACAGACCACCATGACACGGCCATGAGCCACGGAATCAATTGGCACGAGAACTCTCACGTTCTCGCCATACACGTCGAGAGCAGAGCGGATCGCCATGGGATTGACCGTGTAGTACTCACCCTCAATAGTCTTGGGGGTACCCATGACTCCGTCCACTGGGATATGGAAGCGATGATAATCTTGGGGAGCAAGACGGAAAACACCCAGTGCTCCATTCTTGTAGCGCTTCACATCTTCGGGGTAAGCATCGCCGAGGAGGCGTTCGATAGAGAATTCTCGACCTTTAACCCAGATATTAGTCGCTTCATCCATACGGTCGAATACAACCGCTCGGCAATCAGCAGGTGACACAACAACTCTGGGCTCGTCCGGCGCTGAGCAGGGCCGGGCACCGGGTTTTAGTGCACGGTAGAAGAACTCGTTAAAGTTATTAAACTTTTCGATGGGCAACAAGACTTCGGACATATCAAGTTGGTGAAAGTTGATGAAGTCCCGGATCTGACTGGCAGACGCAGGATCATCGTACTTCTTGCCCTGCTTGATACTCATAGACTTCAAGATTTTGCGAACTATAATCATGGTTAGCGAGATCTTGTGAACAACAACCTTATCTCAGGTAATAAGACATACTTCGCTTCTTTTCCATTTCTCTGCTTTTAAGACCCTTGTACAGCAATCGGATACCCAATCGGACATAGACACTCATGCGCTCCTCATTGATTTGCCCAGTGATTCGGTCCTGGACAAGGATGTTGGCCGAGTTGGCTCCCAGCTTGTAGCCACCATAACCAATCTTCGTGATGACTTTAGTGTACCATTTGCGCTGCGCCTGGCTGGAGGTCACGAAGCCTCCCATGACGAGGTTGTCCACCTGCCTCCAGTCCCGGCTTGCGCATGTGGCAATGTGCGTGATGATGTCGGCATCGGAACGAGAGGAGAGCCGCGGTTGATGGCAGAGGGGGCATTCTCGAAGCTCAATGACGTGCTCCACACCGCGTTCATCTCCCAAATCGTCGGGTTGAAGGTCTTCCTCAACCAAGCCCGGCTGCTCTTCGGTGGGTATGGTAGGAATATGTGTAGTCTGAGGGTCATGGTTGGCTGGCAGGCCAGCGTTAAGCCCTGCAATGAGCTCATCATCACCGCTCGACTGTTCCTCGCTATCCTGGCTGATCGATGATGATGTGGGTGAAACCTTTCTGCCTGCCAGTCTCGGGTCTTTTTGAAGTGCCTGAAGGGTATCTTCTAGGCAGATCACAGCTTGATCAAAGGTCAGATCCATTGTTTCGCTGGGTTGATTTTCCAGACTGAAACGCTCGAAAAAACTGTCAATTGTGGACTCCTTCAAGGTGGAACCAAGAGTGTCAAGCATGGTAGTCAGTTCAACCTTGTCAATACGACCGCTATCGTCTGCATCGTATTGTTTGAGCATGAGTCTCCAGAACTGCTGGCGCAGGGCACGATACGGCATATATTTGGCCTTGACAATGAGTTCGGGCGAATGCTTGTCTTCCCATCTGTCCTTATTCTTCAAGCTGAGTGGGATGCGATAAACTCGAAGCCCTTCGCTATCAGCCTCAAGCGGGGAGACGGTAAAGTTAGCTAGCGTAGGAGAGCTTGAGAGGCTGGGAGTCTCGGTGTCTTCCGGGACACTCCGAGGTGGAAGAAGAGTCGGTTCTCCCTGCTGTGACTGGCCTGACAGGGACGTAGAAGAGCCCCTTGGTGACATGCCTAGTTTAGGTGATCTAGACAGGCTGCTGGTCGAGGGAGAGGGGCTGACCGAGATCTTCGGAGCTGGTCTCGCAGCAATGTCCGATTCAGAGCTCGTGAGATCAGGAGTCTGATTTGATAAATCGTACAAGCCAGTCTCAGGATCGGCGTTGGGAGCGGATTTAATCAAGGTCTGTAATGGAAATCCGGCCGATGCGACAAAGTCATTGCCAGAGAACTTGTCCCTGTCCATGACGGTGAAGCCGATCGTATAAGAAGTTTCATGCTTCATGACCTGGAACACCATTTTCTCGTTATATACTGGATTAAGATTGTGACGAACAACCGGTGTTCGAAGCGTCTTTCTTCCGAGTGAGGTGACAACGAACGGGTCCATGTCGAAGGAGGTGCGCGTCACTTGATCAAGAGTTAGCTCAGCCATGACGAGGTTGAGGATGGACAGAGGAAAACCATACCATTCCGTTCGGGCGGAAGGTCCGTCACCTTCACAATCTCCATGAACACGATACCTTGCACTCCATTTCCTACACCGGAAAACTGGTAGGCTCGTGCTGCCAAAGATTTCCGTTTCAGACGTTTAAGGCGCAGCCTCCTTCTTCGCTTTTCCACGATCTCTGGTTTGGTGGGGTCGTCCGTCTCATCCGACGTTTCTTCATCTCTGTCGACATCCTCTGGTGAAAACGAAGGTACCTGCGGGAATTCATCTTCATCGTCCCCAGCACATACCAGGGTTCTGAATTTTTGATAGACTTCTTCCGCAGGGGCATTGGGGTTTGCCGGATCGATGAGAGAGAACTGCAGCAGGATTTCCCCAGAGATGATACTGTCCTTCTTCTTCGAAGACTTTCGTTTCGAGCGAAGAGTGTACCAGGTTGGCTGCAGGCATCATGTCAACTCGCACGTCCAGGTCAGTCGCGTTCCGGGAAAATGTACCTGTTGATGGACCTCGCCGCGGCTGAATATCTCCTCGAGGGCAATGTCGAATTCGCCCATATAGTCTTTGCCGAACCGATCATGATCCCAACAGATGCACTCCAATAGTGGTACACCGACCACGGGCATCTCAAACGTGACGTTCCATTCTGGGTTCAGGGTCTTTGGTATCGTGGGTGTTGACTGTCGGGCCTCTCCAAGTGTGACTATCATGTACTGAACAACAAGGTGGCTCGTTAGCAAGCGATCAGCTGGTTCAATAGCTGGGATAAATTTTATGCCATACCGGGTCACTGGTTCCTCCTCTGTCCTTAGCTGCTAGATTCCTCCCCTAGTACCCAGCAGTCAGTAATGTTGAGGAATGCGGGCGGGACTTCCGAGCGGCTCCGCGAATCTGGGAAGTGCGGACTCACCCGAAGGACGGAGACCTTGAGGATCAAGGGCTTCGTGTCAGACATTCTCATGGGACTGGTACTTCTGCTTTGACCGGGAGTGGTATTGGTGCTTTTTGAGCTCAAATGCGTGCTGAGCCGTTGTGGCAACGGTAAGCGCACCATGATGATGAACCGTCGGGAAGTGCGGGGAGGGGGAGAAAGCAGGCCAGACGGAGCCGGAGGTGACGTCGCGTCGATACTGAGGACGGGAAAATGATCGGAGAGTGGGATTATTTAGGGACGCGTTCGTGAGCAAACAGGGATATTAGGGGAAATTGCCTTGAAGGGGGCTAATCAGCATCTGGAGAAGGGAACAGGAGGAGGAGCTCCCCAGTCACAATGACGGAGCGTTGGTCGCGGTGGTTGCCTGTCAAGGTTGAGTGCCGGGCGATCTTAGGAAGATCTGGTGGCTCCGGGCGACCCAGCAATCCCACGAGCAAACCAGCACGGTCGCAACGCACTGCAATGAACTTGGAGCAGAGGTAGGTATACGCACTTTGCGATTGACACCCTTTAGATATGGGAGATCAGGAGCATGGCGAGGAAAACACAGACAGTGATTGTTGAATGGTGGAAGAGTTGTGTGGAAGGATGGGGGGACGTGGACGTGGACGTGAACGTGAATGGGAAAGTTGACTGCGCGGCTGAGTGGGTGAGACTGAGTGGGTTGCGCATAGACTTTATTTCTTTAGTGTATGGCCTTCATCGAAGCACGGAGAAAAAGGAACAACAAGCCAGACGGACCGTCTAGATAGATAATGGACTAGATAGACCAGACTGTCCTCTCTCGTATATGAAGTGGGGTGGCCTCGATCGACTAGGAGGACATTACCGGAATACGGAGGAGAGGAAAAAGAAAAAAAAAATCTAAAAAGTAATGACAACAAGTACAAAATACCGAGTACTCGAGTAAATGACAAGTTGACATTTAGCTAACTAGTCGATTTAGTGATCGAGTCTCATTGATTCATTCATTTTATTTATTCTTCTTCTTATCCTCGGCAACGCAGGACTACTTCGGAGAGCGGAAATAAGAAGTAAAGTTAGTTGTGGCCCTGCTTTTCTCTCCCCCACCCCAACCTCACCCCTAGAATTCACTCTTCATTCTCTTCTTCCATGAATGATAATGCAGCTAGATGCATTCATCGCACTTATGCAAAGCATTTGTCCCCCTAATCTGGCTAATCTTGGTAGGGAGAGAACGACGTCAGGTCCGAGAAGTTAGTCTCATCTCCACCACTCAACGCAGTCGAGTGATCAGTGATTGTGGCTGCCTAGTCCAAATGAGTCGCTCTACATCACATCCCTAAATACAATGGCGGTTATCTTCCTAAATATGGTACCGGTTCATGCTGCGGGATTTCTGTTCCTGTTCTCCCCTACCGAACGCATCTGCCATCTTTTCTGCTGCATCAACTGTAGGAGAACGAGAAGGAATGGAAGGAAGGGAAAAGGTCTGCCTGCGAGTGCTTCCACGGGACAGCCGATTGTCCTACTTTGCGGATGTCTATGGGTTTCTTGCTGCCTGGACAGACATCTTCCCAGAATAAAACCCCTCGGGGATCAGAATCAGGATCCCATGGAAGACTCCGTAATGGATTCCATCCTTGGCTTGCCTAAGCAGCAGTCAAAGTCCCCTGATTCCCTGAAGCAGGGCTGAGCGATCGTGTCCCCACTTCGAATGTCAAAAAGGCTCCAGTAGGAACCGGCGGAAGGGCTGGAAGGGAGTTGTTGGGATGAGAAATCGCAATCTTGGATTGGACGATATTCTCTCTTTGCTTTGAAATTTAGTCTACCATAACTGCGGTAGTCATAGTGTAAAGGAGGGGCGCCCGCGGACCAACGGGCCATTCCGCGGCCTCCGTAAAACAGCGTCTCGTAGGTAATAACGTACCACCGCCGCAATGCAGACAAGCCTCCGTCCCAATCATCCAGCCCTATAGACTGGTAGGTACAGTGTGGAAGCATCCTGGCGGTTGAGTTATTATAAACCTCCGGGCCTTAGGCTGCTTACCTTTGATTCTTGGCGATCAATTTGCATTTTTCTTGATTCGGGCTAGAGAGGAATATCTATGAGCTCGGCTAACCTTTTGTGTTTCAGACCTGAGACGCGATCTTCCCCTGTAAATGTATGTAAGGTTGGACACAACTTTAAGCCAACCTGTAACCAACATCCCAACGAAAAATAGGGGCTGTAGCCTCAATCTTAAGAAAATACATGTTCTCAGCACATGTAAGCAGTCCTTTGAGCGAGATGCTGCTGGACCGCCATAGTGCTGATCGTAATCAGGCTTCGCCAATCGTTATTGCAGTCAAGCGCACCCCTTAATGCCAAGAGTGACACATAAGCTGTGGCTGTATGCGAGCTTTCGCATTGACACCTCTGTTCGAAGAGATACTACTCGATTTAGACTATGAGGGTACTGGAGCTTAATAAGTGCAAACGCTGGGTGCCGTGGGGCTAACTCTGTCTGCCCTTCAGGCAAGTCGATTGAAGTCCTTTCCTATCTGTATCCCGCCTTTAACCCATCCAAGACTATGAGCCAACAATAGCATTTCTGCAACAGGTCGGGTTAGTCTCTTCTCCGTCGATCAACCCTGCCCCAAACCTCATCGGAGCTGGTTTTGCCCTTGGTTTCAGGAACCCGCCAGTAAATGAACGCTCCGAAAAGACAGGCCATAGCAGCAAAGACCCAGTATATCCTGCCTCGATCCAGAGCCTGGTTCAAGACAGGGAAGAATTGCGCCACAATGAATGTTGCAATCCAATTGGCCGCAAGCGCCCAGCTCTGTGTGGCGCCCACGGCCTCCGGACCAACCAGCTCAGACGCAAGGATAAAAGGCACAGGACCGACACCGACAGCAAAGCAAGCCACAAACAGTAGCACAGCGATTGCAGACAAGGCTTTCTGGCTGGTGTATATACCCAGAGCTAAGAGCAAGGAGTTTACCCCCATGCCGCTGATGCTAAGCAGAAGGCATTTCTTACGCCCGATCTTGTCGGGCAAAGGAGTGCAGGCAAGTGTTATGACCAAGTTGATGCCCGAGATGGCCACTGCCAGTAGGGCTGCGGTAGTAGGAAGGATGCTCTGTAGAAGCGAGACGCTGTACATGATGATGCTGTTGATCCCCGTGAATTGCTGGGCAATCATGACACCAACGACGGCAACAATAGCTGGCCGATAGTAAGAATCTGTGACGGCTCTGAGGATGGTGACTGGTGGCTGCTTCGGTGGCATATTGCTCGATGGTGGTGTCAGCAGCGACTGCTCCTCTCCCGAGCCATCTGCAGCATCAACGGAGGAACTGGACCAGCTTTTGACTTCCTCTTCAATATCAGCATCCTTCCCGCGTAGACGCTGAAGTACCTTCCTAGCCAAGCTGCCCTTCTGATGCTCCGCAAGCCAGGTGGGACTCTCCGGGACCAGAAAGAGTCCCAGAAGCTGCAGAGCCCCGATGAAGCCGGCGACGGCAAGAACGACCCTCCACACATTTCCGTAACTCAAGAAGTATCCCAGCGTTTGTGTGAGCAGAATCCCGACGTTCGTCATGACTTGCGTGAAGGCGCCGAAGAAGCCCCTTGCGGCAGGAGGGGCTATTTCGGAAACATAAATTGGACCAACAACAATAGCAGCCCCGGATCCGACTCCTGATAGAAAGCGGCCCAAACTCAGCAACGGTATGTTGGATGCGAAGGTCTCAGCTACGGGACCTAAGATATGAAAGATAGTCGTAGCGCGGAGAGTGGATAAACGACCGTGTTTGGTGGATACTGGCCCTGCCAGCAGAGCTCCGACTAGGCCACCAAGGGTGTAAATCGAGGATACCAGGCCGAACTGGGACGGGTTCATAGGGATGCATTGCGGAAGTGAAGCTGCACTTGTAGTGGAGTCAATGCTCTTCTGCTCGCAAGTAATGACTGCTTGAGGTGCGTTTAATTCAGCCTTGACGAGTTTTCAAGTCAGCAAAGAAAGTTAGATGGAAAGATGAAATGGCCCCGATGCCTACCAGGTGATATCCGAATTGCAGCGGTCCTAGGGTGGTTATGAACACGAGATAGACCAAGTACGGCGTGACCCTAGATCGGGTCGACTCCCCTGAAGCCATTCTATGGTTGAAGATTGGAAACTGCAAGGATGTTCCTCGTTCAACAAGCAAGTCGTCGACCAATGGAGACTTTCAAGTAGGTTTTTTCGGTCCAGTCATCACCGATGTCACAAAAAGGAGGGTTGTTGCTGAACGCCGAGCTGCGTCTAGATGACGTTGCGGCTATCAGTATGCATCGGGAGAAGGAAAGTCCGTTTGTCTTATCACCGACTCAGGGGGCCGGGGTTGATAGGGAGTTTGCTACAGAGTAGCAATGTGAGCATTGAGGTACTCTGTAAGGAGTCTGAGTTCTGTACCTTGACTGGACAGGCAAGTAACTATGTGTAGTGGATGGTTACACATGTATACACGTAACTATTGTTTGTTCTTGTTGGTTGTTGATGCTGCTGCTGCTGCTGCTGTTGTTGTTGTTACCAACGAGGGGATCGATCTTCTGCTGAGTCAGTCACGCTCCCCCTCTCCCTCGGAGAGTCTCAATGCAGCCTCACTTGAATGGTCACGTCTCTGGCCCTTTCTCACCACCAACCATTGTTGCTCATTTCCAAGTCATACCTAACTTACCTACTTAATCATCAAGTCTTTTCCTGCAGGTCTTATGCTCTTCTCATAGTGGTGGAGATCAGTGTCTCCGTATGCATGATTCACCTCACTGTCCTTGCCGACTGCGAATAGTTACTTCCCTTCATCCAACAAGCTACTGCTACTACTCCCCGTACTAACCAGTTCAATCGAACCACACCACACCAAGTCTCTCCCGGGCATTCCCCCCTCTCACATCCACTTCTTCTTTTCTTCTTTTTCTCTTCCTCTCCCTCCCTTTCTTCCATGAGCCTGACGAACCCCCCTTCCTCATCCGGTCCTCTAAGTGCGACTTCCAGGCCTACTGCGGCCACCCTCAGCCAAAGTCTGTCTCTAAAGAACTTGAAGAGTCTGCAGGCTACTGTTGATGGTAATACCCGGCCATAATTCATTATCCATTCATACTCGTACATACATACCTACTCAGTACTCCGTACTTATACATTCTTACCCTATCTATTTATTTTATTCTTCGTCTTCTCGTCTTCTTGTGCTTCTCCACTGCTTCCAAGTTCCAACCCACCCAGACTCCGTTAGCACCCCGTCTGTCTCCACCTTTTGCCACCACTCAGTTCTCCAAGCGCCCTTCTACTTTCTTGACCTGGGCCCATCACTATCACGATGTCCACTGGTTGATGATTGAAGAGTGTTAGTTCTAAATTACTATTTCTTTGGTGGAATCATTAAATGTACCCGAGCTATACTATAGCTCTCGAGCTTCCTGAACGGGTTTGAAGAAAAGAACTGTCTAGTGCCTCCATCATGTTTGGCAAGAGCTTTCCGTTCTATAATTCTGTCGCCGGGTTTTATCCACGTGGTAATTGCTGTCCCTTCGATCTCCGACCCTCTTGTTGCCGGCTACACGCTGCTGCTATACGCTCTGCCCTCACTTGTTGAAATTGTCTACCTTGCTGTCAGCAATCTCGGGTTGACTATTATTTTTCTCTCTGTTCCCCAAGACTCTTGCTTCTAAGTTCCGATTGGCTGATGGGTTGTCACCGAGGACTATGAGTGCTAACATAATTTTCTATATTTAGAAAGCACAGATTCGCGACGGCCGCCAGGGACCGGTTACACCAGTAAAGTCCGAGTGCGAGATAGATACCACATTGTGGGTTTCATCAGCAGCGGTACATATGGCCGAGTCTACAAGGCGATCGGCAAGAATGGCCAGAAGGGCGAGTTCGCCATCAAGAAGTAAGCAGATTGCGGACGCCTTCACTTCCATCAATTCGCTCGTCGCTGACCGACTACAGGTTCAAGCCGGACAAGGAAGGGGAGGTAGTGCAGTACACTGGTCTCTCGCAGTCCGCGATCCGAGAGATGGCTCTGTGCTCCGAGCTTGACCATGCCAATGTGGTGCAACTAGCAGAGATCATCCTGGAAGACAAGTGCATCTTCATGGTGTTCGAGTACACGGAGCACGATCTCCTGCAGATCATCCACCACCACACGCAACCGCAGAGACATGCGATCCCAGCGGCGATGGTCAAATCGATCCTGTTCCAGCTGCTGAACGGCCTCCTCTATCTCCACACCAACTGGGTGCTGCATCGAGATCTCAAGCCCGCGAACATCCTGGTCACCTCCAGCGGCGCCATCCGCATCGGGGATCTCGGGCTCGCCCGCCTCTTCTACAAGCCCCTCAACTCCCTCTTCTCGGGCGACAAAGTCGTCGTCACGATCTGGTATCGTGCCCCCGAGCTCCTCATGGGAAGCCGGCACTACACGCCCGCGGTGGATCTGTGGGCGGTGGGGTGCATCTTCGCGGAGCTGCTCTCGCTGCGGCCCATCTTCAAGGGCGAGGAGGCCAAGATGGACAGCAAGAAGACGGTGCCCTTCCAGCGCAACCAGATGATGAAGATCATGGAGATCATGGGCCTGCCGACCAAGGAGACCTGGCCGGGCATCGTCTCGATGCCGGAGTACGCCCAGCTGCAGTCCCTGGCCGTGTCGCGGGCCCCCGGCCACTTCAGCCGCTCCTCGAACCTCGAGGGCTGGTACCAAAGCTGCCTCAAGAACAACGGGTACTTCGCCAACGCGAGTGCGGGCACCCCCGGCGCGGACGGGTACGACCTGCTGGCCCGGCTGCTCGAGTACGACCCCACCAAGAGGATCACCGCCCAGGAGGCCCTGGAGCACCCGTACTTCCGCAGTGGCGGCGCCATCTCGGCCAACTGCTTCGAGGGGTTCGAGGGCAAATACCCGCACCGCCGGGTCACGCAGGACGACAATGACATCCGCTCCGGCAGCCTGCCCGGCACGAAGCGGAGTGGCCTGCCGGACGATACATTAATGGGGCGAGCGGCGAAACGCCTGAAGGAGTGATCGGGATCGCCGTCTGAATATCTTGAAATATAGTCTCTGCATATGGGCATGGCGTTCAGGTCGCTGTAATTAACGGGTACGAAATACATAGCAACGCATTTAGATGGAATACAACATAAGCACATTGTACTGTACAATCTGCACCTGACTTCGAGTATCTAGGCTCACGGTAGCGCGACGCCTTCCTAGACCAAGCAAAAGGAACACACATTACAAACACCATTACACGAATTCTTCTTGTGAGATAGATAGATAGATAGTCAAAGATAAATGAATCTGCTCCTATTTGAAACCCAACCACGCCGTTCCCATTCAATCGTGCCATTTCCCTTGTTATGTTGTCCTGAATGAGTATCCCAAACCATTCTGCAACTATTAGACCCCATAAATCCCCAGACTAAGCGGTTAGATCAAGTAGATACCAAGAGTAAACTCAGTAACCTATAACCCCGCAGAATTAGCAACCACAACAATGATCAACTGAAAGTTGGAGAAAATGTCGAGGAGAAGAGGAAAACATACCATTCTGCTCCCTCCGACTATCCCCATCCTGCCCGGCACCGCCACCATCACCACTACCACCACCGGAAGAAGCCTGGCCCGCGGCGGCGGCCTCCCGGATATGCTGGTCATCGCCGCGCAGCTTCTCGAAGTAGGCCTTGATGTCCTCGGCGGAGACGGCGGTGCCGCTCTCGGCGAAGGGCTTCAGGAACTCCTTGACCCGGTCGCGGAGGTGGTTGTAGACCATGGCGCCCTCGATGGCGCGCACGCGGTCGATGTTGCTGAGCGCCGCCTCGCCGCGGTCGAGCAGGCTGCCCGTGCCCGTGCTGCGGGCGCCGTCGCCGTGGTGGTGGTCCCCGTCCTCCGACACGGGCGGCTCGTAGGCCTCCTCCTCCTCGCGGAGTTGCGGGTGCGCGGCGAGGGTGTGCGGGTAGCAGTCTGGGCAGCGGCAGAAATGGTCGCGGAAGGTCTCGGTGAGGAAGAGGGAGAAGGTCTGGGGGGGCGGGGTGGTGGGGAGGGTGGTGTGTTTGGGGGCGTTAGGTTGGTCGGGTTGGGGTTGGGAAGAGGAAGATGGTGAAGCGGTGTTGGTGGTGGTTGGTGCTGTGGCGGTGTCGGTATTGGTGCCGGTGGATTCGGACGTCTCATCGTCCTTGATGCGCTTTGCGGCGGGCTCGGCTGTGGGTTGTGGTTCAACGTCGTCATCGTCGCCGTTGTCGTCGGCTTTGCGTTTCTTGGAGTTGAGGGTAGGCTCAGATTGCGCGCTGGTGGTGACGGGGTTGATTGGTTCTGCAGTCGTCGGTTCTTTGTCTGTCGCTTCGGCGGATTTGGCTTCGAATGCGATTGGTTTGGCCAGTCCACCTTCTTTGAAGACGGGGGGGAGGAAGCCGGTTGTCCCCGCGTAGCGCTTCAACCACGGATTCGAGTCAACGCATTTGTAGCAAATGAACATGTCGAAGTCAGCTTCTTCAGGGAACCCGGGTGGGAGGGGCGTCTCCTCGTCGTCGTCATCATCAACTTCGTCGCTTTTGTTGTTGTTGTTGTCGTCACCATTCTCCGCTGCTACCGCATCTTCAGCTTTCACTTCCTCCTGCTTCCCTTTTTCCTGCTGCTTTGCGTTCTTGTACCAGTCGCGCGAAAGCCCGATCAGGCACTCTGGATGCCACCAGTCCTCGCCGCAGCCGCCTGTCTCGACAGTCCCCACACCCAAGCACTGGAACATCGTTCCCCGCTCCTGACTGGGGTCATAGTCCTCGTCGCAGCCGCAGAACTTATTCTGGAAGTTGTGGTTGTATTTGTTGCCCGGGTGGGGTTCTTCGGAGTGGACGCCTTTCGCGCCAGTGTGTGGGTCATTGCGCAGCGTGCAGGGCGAGCTCGATGGAATCCGGGTTGTCCCGCAGTCGCAGACAAAGTTGCGCTTGCTGAATAGCTCGACGAGGTTGTGTTCCCCGTGGCAGGCGATGGAGCAGGAATAGCATACGGCGGCTGGTGTGTATGATGCATTCTCGTCGGAGGATGCGGTAGGAGGGGGGTTACAGGTGAGGCACGCGAAGAGGGATTGTCGGAGGGGACCTAGAGCTTTGGTGCAGGTATCAAAGGACTGCGCCTGTCAGTACGATGTGTGATATGCGACAGTCGATCCATCGTCGTTAGGTTGTCTGGTTGGGGTTAGAAGGGCAAGCTCACGTAGGGAAGGATCTCGCGCGCATCAGCTTCGAGGCGAATTTGAGACTCGATGAATCTGACAGACAAGACTCGTCAGTACTCGGATATGTTTACAGGCATTCCAACAGTGTATGCCGTGCGAAACAGAATTGAAAACCTCACTGTCTGGCAGTCTGCGAGTTCTGGGAGCTGAAGCTTTCGCGACGGTTGATGGGATCCTGGGCGTCTTTCGGCAGCCCACTGCTGGGGGCTGGTTTGGATGCCTCTGAGTCGGCCATATTCTTGTGTCTGAGTTGTGGTGAGTCGCTCTATAGGTCAGCGGAGGGAGGACTTTATTTGACTGAAGAAGAGGGTTGTGGTAAATTAAACGGTGATCTGGTTCTGCTCAGCCTTCGAGGAAGCTCGAAGCGCGCGCGGCGCAAGGCGATTTAAGTGTTTGCCCCGTTTGCATGACCTCACCTCTGCTGCTCGATGACGGCTACTTCGGGCCGGTTACTTGAAGGTCATATTGCTTGCCAGATGCTGGCTTTACTCAAACAAAAGGTATGAGCTTAACATTCCGAATTCAACACAGTACCTCGAAGCAATGTAGTTAATATGTACAGTACCGTGTGCGAAGTCCCTGCTACTGTAGAGTGATGCGGCAGCACCGCAACATTCAGGCCACTTGAACTGACCCCATAGCAAGGTCAATGCATTCATACCACTTGCCAATCTTTCTAGCTTGATTTCCCCGTCACTTTCGAGTATCCATAATGTTCTAGACGGTATAATTATAGGTACAGGCCGGAGTGCTGAGCTGTCGACTAACGCCATTCTGGGTGGCGCTTCTCTTTCCCGATCGGGGTTAAATTGGTTTTCGGACGCGTTTGGGTCGCGCTCCGACGCGTTTCTGCCGCGCATCAACACCGCCTGATGGATTTCCCTGCCAACGGATGAAAAAAAGGCGCCCGCACTACAACCTCCGTGCGGTAATCCCTTCAATCCACCCCCCCATACTCCGCTGCCGGTCAGAAACACCAGACACAATGAGGTATGTTTACTCTATCGGTACATGAATGGTCACATCTTCGATCAGTTTTCTTCTCCCGTAACTCCTTCCACTAACATTCATCATGGCACTTCAGTTCACCACTACGCCCAAGCCATTCCGCCGCAAATCGCGGCTTGGGAAACCTCGGTCGACGCAAGAGAGACAGAGAACCCGATGATGAGACTTCATCGGTCGCCCCTCCTTCGAGTCGTAAGTCTCAGATGATTTTGATTGTTTGATATCGGCAACGTGCGCATGCTAACACTTGCCACAGCTCCCCCTTCGTCACCTCCTATGCTCCCTTTCGACGAGGATGACAATGAAGGAGATGAAGAGGCTGACATGCTGGGCGACATCGACGATCTTGATGAGATGGCCGAAGATGAAGATGGCATTGACTTGTTCGGTGATACCTTCGAGAAAGATTACAGAAGCACACAAGACCAGCAATACCGCGGAACATACATCGACGATGAAGGCGACCACGAGGAGCTGGATATGGCCACTCGTCGTCAGCTGGAAGCTCGCCTGAACAAGAGAGACCGGGAACTGGAGCGCCGTCGCCGCATGCCTGCTGCCTTCTTGCAGGACGATGAAGATGCCGAAGTCGATCTCACTCGCCAGCCCCGTCGGCGCAGACACCACTACGATGAGGATCGGGAGGACGTTGAGATGGGCGACGATGTCATGGAAGAGCTCTCCCTGGAGGAGTTGACCGACGTCAAGGCTCCGAACATCACCGACTGGGTTCTTCAGCCCCAAGTCCTACGCTCCATCTACCGCGAGTTCAAGGCGTTCCTCACGGAATTCACCGACCCTACTGGTAGTTCCGTGTACGGTAACAAGATTAAGACCCTTGGTGAGGTGAACTCCGCATCGCTAGAGGTCAGCTATGTGCATCTTCTCAACACCAAGGCTGCTCTTGCATACTTCCTCGCCAACGAGCCGACTGAGGTTTTGAAGGTCTTCGATCAAGTTGCCCTCGACGTGACTCTGTTCCACTACCCGCAATACCACGACATCCACAACGAGATTCATGTCCGTATCACGGACCTCCCCGTCATTTACACCCTCCGCCAACTCCGCCAGTCCCACCTCAACTGCCTTCTGCGTGTCAGCGGTGTTGTCACTCGCCGCACTGGTGTCTTCCCCCAGATGAAGTATGTTATGTTCATTTGCGGGAAGTGTAGGACACACCTGGGTCCCTTCCAGCAGGAAGCCAGTGCGGAAGTCAAGATCACATTCTGTCAGAACTGTCAGGCCAAGGGACCTTTTACCGTTCACTCCGAGAAGACAGTGTACCGCAACTACCAGAAGTTGACCCTGCAGGAATCCCCTGGCTCTGTTCCCGCCGGTCGTCTCCCCCGCCAGCGCGAGATCGTTCTTCTTGCTGATCTCATCGACTCGGCTAAGCCTGGTGATGAGATCGAGGTAACCGGTATCTACCGCAACAGCTACGATGCGCAGCTCAACAATAAGAACGGATTCCCCGTCTTCGCCACGATCATCGAGGCCAATCACATCGTCAAGTCCCACGACCAGCTGGCTGGTTTCCACCTGACGGAAGAGGATGAGCGAGAAATCCGTGCCCTGTCCAGAGACCCCGAGATTGTCGACAAGATCGTTCGCTCGATTGCCCCCAGTATCTACGGTCACCTGGACGTCAAGACCGCCATCGCGTTGTCCCTCTTCGGTGGAGTCAGCAAGCAGGCCCAAGGCAAGATGTCCATCCGTGGAGATATCAACGTGCTGCTGCTCGGTGACCCCGGTACCGCCAAGTCCCAGTTCCTGAAATACACCGAGAAGACGGCACACCGAGCCGTATTCGCCACGGGTCAGGGTGCTAGTGCCGTCGGTTTGACGGCCAGTGTCCGGCGAGACCCCTTGACCAGCGAGTGGACGCTGGAAGGAGGTGCTCTCGTGTTGGCGGACCGCGGTACCTGCCTGATTGACGAGTTCGACAAGATGAACGACCAGGACCGGACCTCGATCCACGAGGCCATGGAACAGCAGACGATCTCCATCTCCAAGGCCGGTATCGTCACGACGCTGCAAGCGCGCTGTGCCGTCGTGGCCGCCGCCAACCCGATCGGCGGCCGCTACAACAGCTCCGCCCCGTTCTCACACAACGTCCAACTCACCGAACCCATCCTGTCTCGTTTCGACATCCTGTGCGTGGTCCGCGACTTGGTCGACCCCACCGAGGACGAGCGCCTGGCCAACTTCGTCGTGGAATCGCACTCGCGCGCCAACCCGTCCCGCCCTCTCCGCGACGAGGACGGCAACCTGGTCAACGCAGACGGCCACCCCATCGACGAAGAGGGCTACCGCATCAACAAGAAGACCAAGGAGCGCCTCCCGCCCACCCAGGAGGAGCTTGCCGCGCGCGACGCTGAGGCCCGCAAGCGCGAGGAGGAAAAAGAGGGTGAAATCCCGCAAGAGCTGCTCCGCAAGTACATTCTGTATGCCCGGGAACGGTGCCATCCGAAGCTCTACCAGATCGATCAAGACAAGATCGCCCGTCTCTTTGCCGACATGCGCCGTGAGTCTCTGGCCACGGGCGCATATCCGATTACCGTAAGCTTCCCTTCTTCAAGCAAATCAGCACAACAAGCTAACATCAACCCCCAAACAGGTCCGTCACCTCGAAGCCATCATGCGTATCGCCGAATCCTTCTGCAAGATGCGTCTCTCGGAGTACTGTTCCGCCCAGGACATCGACCGCGCCATCGCCGTCACCGTCGACTCGTTCATCGGCAGCCAAAAAGTCAGCTGCAAGAAGGCTCTTTCCCGCGCATTCGCCAAGTACGTTGCCCTTTCCCGGGCTAAAGCACCGCTCAAAGAGAATAATCATTGACCCAAATTCTTCCCAAATAGGTACACCCTCTCCCGCCCCAAGCCGCAATCCCGTCGCAAAGCAGGCATCCCCGCCCCGGACCCATTCCGCCCGAGAATGTCGTCCGTTCGGCCTCGGTAGAGGATTTGCTTTTCGATGTTGAATGGGTCATCCGAATGATTCCCGCATGTCTTTCCGTCTGCTAACCCTCCCCTTGACGCAATTCGGGGCTGGGTAAGTCGAGGATAAGAAAACTTACCGCGAGGATATCTTACGGCGCGGCACCTTTTTTATTTTCTTAATGGGATGAAACGATCGATCAATCTACCTATGTTATCCGGTTCTTGGGAAACGTCTTTTTCACTGTCATGAATTTATCAGTATGCGTGCGGCGAGGAGGAGTTCGGGTTATTGAATCATGGGGCAGGGGAAATTGGGGCTTTGTTTTCTATCTATTATCTTATCTTTTGTTGAAATATCTCTGATGTGATCTGATTTGATATGGGGAGTATTACCCGGGGAAGAGCAAGCATATACCTAACTTACCTACTAACTTACTTATTGACCTTACTTACCTTCCTCATCAACTTATTAGATTAACCAGTTTCCTGAACTATCCTCAGAGCTTAAGCTACACCGAATAAGTATCTGACTTACTATCTTGTTTCTATCTAACATGGAAGTTGGGAGTGTGCAGAATAACATCACAAAATCATCGATGTTTTATCAGAAGAGGGGAGGGGAAGGGGGAGGGAGAGTGGAACATCAGTTTGAAGCGTAGATATGTGCACGGTATTCGGTCGTCAAGGGGCGGAGGGGAAGGGGAAGAAGAAGGGCTAAAGTAACTAACTGTAGCTCCGCGTAGGTCCGTCCCGTGTGACTAGAAGGTGGAAAGGAAAGTCTTATGTATGCGGGTAGTACTAAAGAACCCCCTTGGGGCTAAGTTGTATGATAACGAGCCATCATTGCGAGCCCTAGAGGAGAATGACATGTGTTAGTAAGAGGATAGTATCAAGGCACCTACATATGTTGTAGGGTGCTTGATTGAGGATTTCTCTATTCAGAAGTGGGTAAACAAGAGAAAGAGTTGGATATACTAGGCAGGAAGTAGTGCTAGGTGAACGAAGCTTGCATCTTTGATTCGGCTAGAAGTACTGCGTGAAAGTACTTGACAAAAACACAATCCCTAGGAGGGAGAAATGAGAACAAGGGTCAAGTAGTCTGTCTAGGAAAGGAAGAAAAAAAACATGCTTGTTACTTGCTTGGCAGACAAGCCCAATACAGCACATTCGGATATCCTGATCAATCGCTTTCACCTGATTGATGTAATACATACATTCTTAACCCCAACCTCTTCGCAACACCGGTCTCGCTCAATAAGGCCAAGCCGTCATCTGCTATCTCGCGTCGCTCATGGATGGTCGCTCTCGAAGATTGCCGTCTCTTCCAAGTTATGTCAATCTATTGGGTCTCATGCTTCCTTAATGTTTCCATTTCATCAACGCTCTCATGCTGTCATTTCCTGTTGAAAGCAATTTCTGCGCCCTGACGGGGATATGGGGATATGGGGATGGATGTGCTGCCAGCGCGATGTCCACCGATAAATGATTACTCCGGCCATACAGAGTAGAAGATGAAACCGGGTTACATGAAAAGATCACCTCCTTGCTCAGTCGTTGGTGACGCGCCGCTCGGGACGGGGCTTCCGCAGACTCTTCATGCGATTGATGAAGCCACCACTGCCACCACCACCAGCATTCTTGTTCTCGTCATAACCACCGTAAGACCGTTCGTTGGTAAATCTCCGCTCCAATCCCGTGTTCTGCTTGGGACTGCTCGATGAACGCGCCCGTCCACCCACAGGGTCCCGCGCCTCCTCAGAGGAAGTGATCTGAGCGCCCTTCTTCTCCCACGCATCGTCATAATCTTGGAAGAAAGGGTTCTTCTCGTTGGCCTTGATAGTACCGATGTGCCCGGCAGGGACAGGCGGACTGTACGTGGCTTCCGGGGAGCGACCACTAGGAGCACGGTTAATGCCCCGTAGTCTTTGTGCCAAACTCTTCTTGCGCTGAAGACCACCGCCGTTCATACCGCCGCCTGAGCCTTCCGAAGTAGTTCCCCGGCGCTGAAGCTCCGCTTGACTGACTGGAGCCCCCTCCAAGAACGTACTAGTTCCGAGTCCCATGCTCTCCGATCCGTGGACAGGTTCAATGCGAGCAGTAGGGTCAAAGTTGGGGGGGTTGTCAGCTCTGCGAGGTTCGCTTCTCGCACTGGCCGCAAAATCATTGAAGCCTTCCTCGGTCCTTCCGTGGAATAAATTGTGGTCAATGTCTACGTTGTTCGGTCCGGAGCCTCCCAAGGCCATGTTAGCCGAGTCCTTAGGGAAGGCCTGCATAGGTGCTGTGCGCACGCCCTTACGGTTTCGATTCGGGTTGCAAGCATCAAACGGTCCATCGTGATGGAACACTGCACGGGATTAGTGATGACATCATCATTTGAGCAGTTCTATCACTTACTTCCTGTTCCGTAGATGCTAGTCACATCCAATTTGTCGATAATATCGAGTTGGTAGTTGTTCTTCTTCGAGGACGACGAGCGAGGCTTGCCATCCTTACCCTCCTTTCCGCGAGCCTCCCGCTCTCTCCGTCTTCGTTCCCGGCGCTTTCTTTCTTCCTCGGTATCCACGTGTTTCGGGCGCTCCATGATCGATGACTCGGAGTTGCGACGGGGGCGTGGTCGGTCGCGGCCGCTGGGCCGGGAACCGCTCCCGTTTCGCGGAGGGTCAGCGAAAATATCTAGGTGATCGCGTGCGCGGCGCTCGGGGCGATCCCTTCGTTCGCTGGAGTATCCATTCGGTGCAGGCTTCTCCGGACGGGGCGGGGCGGGCCTAAAGCCGGCAGGTTGCGTGGCAGGGTTGAGAGACAGGTTTTCCTATTGAACGAAGCATTCCTGATTAGTCTTCACGGCGACACAGTAAAGAAACAGAGAAGGACGTACAAAGAGGTCGCGGGTGTTCGAAGTCATATCTTGACTTCCGACCGAGGATACCATGGCTCCTCCAATAGGGGCAGAATGTGGCGAATCGAGGTCGTCGAAAGGGTTGGTCGAGGTCGGTCGCTCAGGTCGGCCGGCGGAAGAGAATGAACTGGCAGAAGGAGACAGCGCCCGGTTTCTGAAGGGATTGTTGGAGCCCAAGGAAGGCGCATGCGCGTGTTGGACGACGGGGGCTGCGAAGAGGCAGAAATAAAGTTAGCATCAGAGAAAGTGAACGGACGACCGGGGGAAGCACGGTCTGAAATAAGACCACATTCTTGACAAGACAGCAACATTCTGGCCCAGGGGAAGGGCCCCGCCGAAGGTGAAACGGCAGTGAGATGACGACTTAGGTGTGAGACACAACGAGGCAGAGGAGAAGAAACCGGAAATCAGCAAGATGACGCACCTGACGGGCCCAGCGTCACGCCGGGTGGGTAGGAATAGGTTGCGGAATACTGGGAGGCATTCATGGTTGCGAAAGTCCACGCAATGCGAGGTCGAGAGCAGGAACGGTCAAGGAAGTTGATTGGGGAATGGAGGAAAAAGACATCCAAAGATAAGGAGGTAAGTGGATGGAGGTGGATGATCAGGGGAGGGTCGAGAATGCGAGGACCAACGCCAAACTAGAGTAAGCTTAGGCGTTGCTGAAACAGCGATGCCGCGGCCGACGATTTAGGAGAGAATAATTGGAGGAGGGAATTAAAAAGGAGCACAAGACGTAGGATGTCCGTCCGTCTGGCGGTCCGTCAAGTCAAAGTCGAGGTCGAAGAAGAGACCTTGCACAGAGGAATGTGAGAATCCTTAATCTCTTTATTTTTAAAATGCAGAAGTGATTGGCCCTGATTCTCGCCAGTGGCTGCTTTCTGCCTGATGAGAGGTGGTTGGTGGTTGAAGGTGTGTTTAAGTGGTCGAATTGTTCCAGTTGTGGAATTATTTAATTCCCGAATAAGGTGGGGGGGGGCTTTAAGAGGAGCCTGGAGGGGTTGGAATAGGAGTCACAACAGGTGGGATGAAGAGGAGGATATAGGGGGGAGTAAAGTGAGAAAGGGAGAGAAGGTAGAGAAAGATGAGGAAGAAGAGAAGAGAAGAGAAGAGAGGGAGAGAAAAAAAGAGAGTTGGGGAGAAGAAGGAGAAGAAAGGAAAGACGAAGAGAAGGAAGCGGACGGAAGGGAAGGAAGGGAAGGGAAAGGGAAGTAGGATAGGTAGACAGTTAGAGTGACTCGAGTGAGCAACTCGGATGATGGTGCTGTCTGGTTACTTGCTACTGGTGCTGCTGCCCCTGGGGAAATATCCAGAGTCACGGCTAACTATAGTTTGGTCCGATGCATTAAACCACGGTTCATCCACTGAAAGGGGGGCGGAGGAGGAGGGGAAGAAAAGAAAAAAAAAAAGTGGAGTGAAGGCGAGAAGCTTTTGGCTTCGGTTATTGGGGGATTTTAATTTGACATGCAAAAAGGGGGGGCGAGAATTGGTAGTAGTGTACGGAGTACTCAGTATGTCAATAGTAAATCAGCTTGGTTACTGTGCACTGTGCAGTACTGAGTACATTCAGTATAAGAACAAATGAGAGGAGGGGAGAGGGTAGAACACAAGCAAGATTCTCAGATATTGAATATGACTATCTATGTAGTATGTATGCAGTGTACTGTGTATGTGTCTCACTGTCTTATCATTATGGATTGATCTTGATAATGTCTCTCTCTCCTTCCACCCTTCAGGGGCTAACCACTAACTAACTACTTACTGAAGGAGAACGTTCTCGCTCTCCACGGGTTGATTAGTGAGTGAGTGACCCCAGATCAATTTGAGCCACATCGGATCCTGCAAGCCAACAACTAGTGGGAGCTTCGCTCTTCACAACTACTCCTCCTACGATTGACTAACTTACTCCTGCTTATGAATACTATAGCATTGGCCATTGCGTCAACGCTTCCCTCGGGAATGTGGCCCTTCTTTATGCCCTTCCTTCAGCCTGTCTGCCCTCGATCAATCCGGATCGACAGAGCGATAGACACGCTGATGATGATCTTACCCCTGGCTGGCTATTGCCCACCACTTTCCTAATCAATAATGCCTACAATACCAACCGAATACAAAGTATATTCCATCATCCATCATCGCATCATCGCTTCCATCTCCGCCTCTTCGCATCATAGGCGATCATCTAATGCACCTCTTCTTCAGGGTCGGCCCTTCAATGACTCACCTTGGCGAAATCCCCCTCCATCCCATCTCAACCTTACATACATAGTTGGTAATTTCCCTTTCCCCAAAGGTGGTTTTTTTCTGGAGTCTGCCAAGTCACCCAGCAGATCGTCCCCCTGCACGAACCGCGCGGACGGGAACAGGGTCGGTCGGCTCATCACACGCGTGTTCCCGCGCAGAATACTCCCCGGGCGTTCAGGCACACACGCACACCCACAATACACGCATGCCACGGAATGTTCCTGTGTTCCTGTCCTTCCACTTGAGTCCTTGGCAGGTAAGATACCTTATACTGCGTGCACTGCACATCAAGAAGGAAGGGAAGGGACTGCAGCCACCCACACGGTGGCTTTCATTCCCCCTTTGTCTTAGCCTTGATTGCAGAGAGGGAGACACCCTGATCAACTGTGACCAGATCAAAAAGACTCTGTGTGAGTATGTGTCCGCATCCGATGGTATGCTTCACTGTCAGTGCCGGTGACGTTTCCCCCTTGTCAAGTTCCAGGGACAAGATATCGTCACATAACTACCGGTACTGAGTAACTAAACCGGGGGGGGGGGGGAGCATATCGTCATGGGTCTCACTCACCTCGCCCAGATCCCCCGGGTTTCCTTTCAGCTCCACTATTCTTAGTGGCTGCTAACGTAGGTCTTTGCTTACTTGCATGCCTTCTTTGCTTTTTCCTGTTGTCTTCTTGGGGGATTTTTCCTGATGTCATTTTTTGCTTTTTCTCACTTGCCCCAATTCGGATAAGGCTGGAATAAGATAAGGGCACCGGAACGGTCGGTTGCCTACTCGTGCTACACGGAAGCAACGGCTGTTTGATGCATCTTGTTGGGCAAACCGTTTCAGATTTGTATTCCTGCTGAGGTCCTACGGATCATAAAAAGGTGTACATCAAGGTGGACCTCGAGTTGGTGAGTGGAATGAACGAGCAGGAAGGGCTGAAGATAAGCGGCCGGTCGAGTTGGAAAACGACATGGTGTTTGCTTAAGTTGACTGGGCTATGTTGTCAGGAGGTTGTCAAGCAAGCTCTTTGCGCTCAGGTGTCATCTAGATGCATGGGCTGCTTAGTCGCTGCCTCGACTGCAGGAATGCAGGAGGACTGAGGTCGCTGGGTATTTTCGGTCTAGGCGTGAAATCAGGCTGGAGGAACTTGGAAGCACCATGTAGAGTCCGGGATGTGCACTTTAGAAGAGAAGCTTACAGATCATGCTCAGCGTCATGAGATGATGAGACATTACCATTTTTTTGGCCGAGTGGTGAGGCCGCTGATGTTCTTTTCATCCGTACAATCTGCTTACCGGGTGCAGACAGAAGCGATGATGTAAGAGGACTCTGATGCTTATCTTTCCGGGCTTAGCAACCAGGGATGCCGGATTCTGATAGCAACTCATCACGTACCGACTAATAAGTCAATGCGGTTGATCACTATTCTTATGGGTGAGTTGGCTGCTGCATTGATAGACTCACTTCATTTCAACTCATCGTAACTTCCTTGCACAGCAGGAATGGCGACTGTCGCATCAATGATGGACACCCGTTTGTCATCTTGTGGTATGGTCACTTGCCTGCCACAGAGGCTTAGTAGACATTAGTAGACATGTCATATAAGTGGAGTACAGTAGTGAGTTGATCTACGTCAATAGCCCTCGCGTGCACACATTGAAGAAGCACACGAAGACCACGACTTTGTGGCCGTCGAAGACAGCTCTCAATGAATCTAGAGCCTGACGGCCTCTGTCAGGCACCTTGCTCGAGGGCCCAGTCAAGCTCTTCAGCCATCCTGGTTAGCCACTCATGGCAGTGTAAGATCGTCCAACCTTCCCTCGGTCTGCTAGGACTGTCAAGGACGGCCAAGGGAGTCAAAGTGGCTGTGGGTGACCAGCTTCTTATCACGGCTGTTGGGAAGATAAACACGAAGACTCGGGCGGGGAATTGGTGCAGTCTGCTATCAATAGCAGTGCAGTTTGAGCATTGTTCCAGCCGGGCCTTAGCTTTATTCGTGTATCGGTCATGAACTAGGTTTGAAGGTAATGATAGTGACTCAGATCTAGTGGAGCTTCAACGGTCTGGGGCGAAGAGCTAATGAATAGTTGGAACATGGCATGTGTGGCATGTGTGGATCAGAGTGCAGAGCAACCCAGAATGGCTTAGATTGATATATCTCTATGACACTGTTGATATAGCTGTGGGCTTGATCTGGGTACTTGCTCACCTGTAGTTTATTACTCGCGTGTTAAGGCAAACTGTATCAGACAGGGCCTCTAGATCTTTCGCATCAGATAAAATCTCCAGGAGCGACCCTTTGCACTTCGGAGATTTCCGAAATGACTAGTCATATAGCAATGCTCCAGATTGATGGAAACCCCGACTTCTCCTGGAGTAGATTGGACTGTGCCTGAATCTACATCAGATTGACAGCTCGTCCAGGTTGGAGTGGGGGATAGTGGGTCTGGCGTATAGCAATGGATGCTTGGCATCTTTTTTACCTTCCCGTGCCGCCAACGTCTGCCGCCCCCCCAGCTCCGAATCAAGCTTGCATTGCACAGTTTCTCCCCTCCACCCTCAACCCATCCGGTCGACCAGCTTACGCTCTCTGATCAATACCATTGAACTCCGTGACACCTTCTACTCTTACACCCTACACGCGGGCCGCATCCCAATCCCTCCAACGCATAACCATGGCCCAGCCACAACAACCACCCACCGACCCAACCAACCCGCAACAACCGCCTCCCCCAACCCTCACCAACCCACGCTTCACCCTCGAGCTCGAATTCGTCTCCTCTCTCGCCAATCCTTACTACCTCTCCCATCTGGCCGTCAACTACCCCAATCTCCTGGGGATTAGCCAGTCCACCGACGAGACGGACGCGACCGACACCAAAGACACCACGACCCCTCGCGACCCCGACGCCGCTGCGTTCGCCGCCTACCTGGCCTACCTCTACTCCTACTGGAAGACCCCGGAATATGCGCAGTTCCTGACACACCCAGGGGCTACGTTACGGGCGCTGCGGCTGCTGCAGGAGGCGAACTTCCGACGGGATGTGATCCGGCCGGATGTCGTCGAGGCGTTGGCGAGCAATGGACTGCAGGAGCAGGTAGTGGAAGGGGACAAACCTCAGGGCGAAGAGCAACAGCAGGATCAGTCAGAGCAGCAGGATGGTAAGGGGAGTTGAGGTTTCTGTGGGCGGGGCTTGGGAAGGGACACAACTAGTACCCTGAAATCATCTGCATGAGGATCGAGGAATAACAGGTGATTACTGGTGATTCGTGTGGGATAGGTACCACTCTTGAGAGAAACCTGGGAAGAATATAAGGGGCTCGCTCGCTCGGTATGTTCACACAACGGTGAATCGCGAACCATGGGTGCTGGGGTGTCATGTGTGACCGAGGTACATATAGTACAAGACGGTCGGTCGCACAGCCATGGCGGTTTTCTGGCTGGCTCGTGAGCCTGATTGATTTTCGGGGTGCTATCTGCCAAGAAGAAAGTGGCCAGTCAGGAAAGGCACTCCACATTTCGGCGGCCAGACTTGAAAGTCTCAGAATTGGGACGATCGAGATCTGCTCCGGAAATGCCGTGCTCGGTTCCATGCGAGCCGATGTCGCTGGGCTGTTCTTCGCGTGAGAAGATAGATCAGAAGGGGAATACCCTCATATCGAGAGATGTACGTATGACACTATGTGAACTTAGTTCACAGTCTCTCTTCCCCGTGCTCGAACCAGAGGCTGGGGAACGGTGCCTGGGAAGCAGTCGATGACGTTGGCGTGGGGTTTGGTTGCAGGGGGAAAGAAACGAACAGCATCACCAATTGATTGATCGGGTCGATGCGATGACATGCACACACGTGTTATCTGTAAACAGTCAGTCAATCAAACATCTATCAGTTTCAATGATAAGTCCTCAGTCTAAGACGTATCTTGCTGTGAGATAGTCAATGCATGCATAATTAATGTACTGTACAGTATTCCGTACAGTCACGGCGGACGGGGCTGATTTTCCCGAACCTCTGGAGTGGATTCAATCAACTCCGCCGCCCGCCGCCCGCCGCGTCAACTAGTAATTTACTCTCTACCTTTGGCTACCTTTGAACTTATCGCCGTCTTTCCCAGTCCATCCGAGGGGTGGATTCTCTCGCTTCTGCCTCGCTTTTCTGCCAGCCCAACCACTCAGCTCTGGTCCTTGTTTTGGCTGCTGCTCACTCTTGCTCACTGTTCATTGTGTACTTCTAGCTTTTACTCATTTCGTTGGCGTTACCCCGCTTGTAATCCTCTTCTTTTCTGATCTTTCTCTCTCAGCCCTTCTAAGGTCCACGTTGACCGTTACCCGATCAAGGCTCTTACTAACCCAATTTTCCGCGAAACCTCCTGGATGGTCGATTCATAGACAAGCACACCTTGGCTAGTCTGTCTAGTCCTCCCTTTCCTGTGATTTATCGCCGGATACTGCGACGGAACCTGCGCATCCCCCTTCCTTTCCTGGAATTCCTCATATACCGCGATTCGGGCACCCGTTGCCGGAATATACACCAATGGAGGGCGTGCGCCAGTCCTGCCGGCCGAAACACCAGGTCCTGGTGCTGAAATGCTATCCGCAATACCAGAAAGGGGTGCAGGAGGTCAAGCCCAACCCCAGTGAACTGTCGTATCTGCTCTACTATGCCAGCACTCGCCGCAGCAAGCTGACCAAGGTTGGCGCTTTCCTGGAGAAACGGGCCGCTCGCGATGTTTGGCGTCGCAAGACAGGGTAAGTTCGAGCGAAAATGAGTGACGATGTGCTTGGTGGATGTGACGTCTGCTGCAGCAGTATTGAAGAAGAGACTGATCTCGTGTAGCAATGTGCAGGTCACGCTCCAGATCCTTACGGCCCTTATCGAAAAAGTCCCCCGCGACCTCCCAATCTACGCCCGATCCGTCCTCACAATCCTGGAAACCGTGCTTCGCTCTCGTGATATCACAATCGTGGAGGACTCTATCGCCACCTTCGAAACCTTCTGCAGCCATCAGGATGTGGCAGCACTGACAGCGGAGCCCGATTTCGCAACCCAGTATCGCGAGGTGGTACGTACGTATGCGAGCTTCGCGGAGGTCGAGCCATCCTCTCAGGCCAATGCCCTCGCCCCGAGCCTACCCATGGCCTTACGGTGGAGGAACGCGGGATTGCGCGCGATTAAGGGCGTGGTCGGCTCCGAGACGGGCCTGGCGGCCGATGGCGGTGACTCGCTGAGAATTACATTGCCGATCGTACTTCAGAATTTGTGCAAAGGAGATGAGGATCTAGTCACCTCGCTCGAACATCTGCTTGAGCAGTCGGAAAAGGCAGACACCGAGCTCGCTCACAAACGGCGCGTTAGCACCGCGACCGTGCAGACAGTTGACACAGCCAATGGTGATCCGGTGTTGGCATCGCAGTCCGCAGCCGACGCAGACAAGAAGGCCGAGCTGGATGTTCGGCTTCTCGCTCTTCGCTGTCTCGAGCGCATTGTTGTTAGTGGAAGCAGCCGCGGCCAGATTCGAGTCACTACTCAAATTGCGCTGGAGTTTATTCTTCGGAAGATCCCAACTGGCAACACGAGCTTCGCACTGGACACCAGGGAGAACTGGGCTACCTCGCTGGTGGAAATCATAGCCAAGTGGTGTCCTGTTCAAGTCCGGTTCATTATCCCAGTCACTATGATGCAGATTTTAATGGACATGAAACTTAGCGACGAGACTTTGGACGAACCATTTGTTGTCATCTTCATGATTGACTGGCTGCTAAAATCCCCGGTCAACATGATTGGCTTGAGTGTTATTGATATCCTGTTGGGTCTTCTACAGCATATGTCGTTCTTACTGTCTTCTCCCGGAGGGGAAAAGGTGGTGGAGCCATCCGGCAAAAGGAGGGAGCAGCTCTCTCTCCTTGAGAAGTGCATCGGAGACCTCGCCACTCACATATATTATGGCGATCAAGTTGTTGACATGATCAGAGCCATCTTGACTCGCGTCAAACCTGTAATCTCTCATGACCAGCCACCAAACTCATCTCAGAACGATTCTCCCGGTGCGCGCTCTCAGGCGCCAAGTGTTTTGGGCGACAGCAACTCCGTTGCCTTTGCATCTGGTTTTGCTAAGACCACAGCTCTCCGGGCCATCAAGAACATCTTACTGGTGGCGAATTCTCGGAAAGCTGCGGCCGCAGCTGGCGCCGAAACGAGGAACAAAGTGGGCATTCATGTCTGGGAGGGGACGCAGTGGCTGTTACAGGAGTCCCAGAACGAGGTTCGTTATGCGTACGCAGACGCATTCCTGACCTGGCTCAAGTTGGAGACCAATCAGCAAGATCTGTTGGTGAACGACAAGTCCGGCAAGACCCACAATCTGAGACGAGAGATGTCTGACATCGAGAAGAGCGGCAAACGGACCGCTTCTATGGGTGTGAATCAGAGGGAGAAGTCCATTCTAGTGGCCCAGCACAATTTTCTCCGGCTGCTACATTTGGTCGTTTATGACATCGCGTTTGAATCTTTTGCACAGGTTGCTGAGATGCGGCTTTTGCACCTTCTGCTGGCAAGCCTTGTCAATCACTTGGGAGTGAATGCCATTCGCTTCGGGCTTTCTATGGCCTTGAAGCTCCAAGAAGATGTGGGCACTGTCGAATCTCTGCAGTCAGTCACTGCGAAGGTGAACATTGGTAGTCTGGTGTATGGATATCTTTGGGCGGTGTCGGAGAAGTTCGACTTGGAAACCACTAAAGTGGGCAGGGATATACAGAACGAAATCGTCAAGAGGCAGAAGCTTGGTCTCTGGCTTGATCACATTCGCCTTCCCCCAGCAAGTCTGGAGACTGTCCTCCAAGGCAGTAACAATGTCGCTAATTACGCAGGGGACGTCAACCAGCTTACACCCTTCGGTGAGGCGGAAGAGCTCGTTCGTTGTATCGAGGACTCGTACAACTTCTCTGTGCAGAATGCAACCAGCAGCCCTCCTTCATCTCCAGGGCGTGCCCCAACTTTGCCAGTGCTGGGACAAGGGTCGGGTCTCCAGGGCATTCCACAGAGACAGCTCCTTCCTTCCACAGCTCGCGAGCAAATGTTATCGGCTTGGACTCGCGAACTGTGCCTGGCCGCTGCCGAGCGAGAGAAGGCAGAATTCATGTCTATGAATGGATCAAGAGCCGGAACGCTGGCGATTCGCAATCATTTCAACGTGAACCCGACAGAGAGCAGCCCTCCCTCCACCACATCTCCCAAATCCGGCCAGCAAGTTGCAGCTGGTCTGCACAACTCTCGTCGGATGAGCATTCCGGAATCTGCTCGGGTCCGGGCTCACAGTTCCAGCCGGGAGTCTCCGGTGCATGTCAATGATTTGAGACGCGTGCTTTCGATCAATGATCAGGAGAAGCTCCGGCGCCTCAGCCCCCTCAGAGGCCGACTTGATACCTCCAACCGCAGCGTTGTCTCGTCGAGCAGTGAGAGCATGGTCAGCGGCTATTCTTTGTCGGAATTCGACGCAGATGGCATCTCAATCCGCCATCAATCGCGCGACGGCCAGGATGGAGACACGGTGACTCCGAAAGCATCATCATCTTCTTTTGCGGGCTCGCAGATGTACTATATGGCTCACGAGGATATTCCTCCTGTGCCTCCGATTCCACCCTCTTTGACCGTCACGGGAAACCTCGCCAGCGAGTCGCAACGTTCGTTAGCTTCCGACCGACCCTCGACTGCTCCCGGGCCGCGTGGACAAGCTGCTGTGAACGGGAAGGCCGTTACGCCCGCCTTGCCTCACCATGGCAAATCCCTCAGCAAGCACAAGAGTCGATCGAGCACCGGTCTGGCGGCACAAGCTGCTGACGGCGACGCTCTTTCGAGTTCCGACCCGCGCCGCGAGGTGACCAAACTTCTGGAGGGGTTCCTCTCGCCCGCTCATGCTGAATTAAGGCCAGGAGGTGCAAGGGCTCGTGGAGGTCTTGGTCGACGGGGCATCAGCGGAGGAATCGGACGTCCCCCGTATTAGTTTTTTCATGTCAATCGTTTTTATTTTTGTTTGTCTCATGATTGCGGGGCTTGAATATACCATCCTACCTGTTACTTTCATTGTTATATTTTCCTATGTTGTATTTGATGTATAGAGGGAGGAGTGCTGTACTGAGTACAAGAACTAATTCGTGTGCATTGGATAGAGAGACTTAATGTATAGGTGTGCGGGAATTCTCACAGGCTCGCAGAGTAAACTTTTGTCCTATTGACATACAGAGAGTAGTCATAAGAGTACTGTGCATGCTGTAAGTCTACAACGTCCAGTACAGTAGGGATGGGCTCCACTTTCCCCAGATTCTCTCCTCAGGAACCAAATTAGCGCCGCGGGACCAGCCACCGCCTTACGTCAGAAGCCCAAGCGAAGCGCGTCGCAACCTCAACCTCGACCTGCAATCACCGCAACTTCCTTTCCTTCCCTGTATCCTCCTTCCACTCTCATCATCATCAATCTGGTTCTCTTCCCCTCAATCTTTGAAGACTAGAAGGAAGAAGCACCAAAATGCATCTCCTGCCAAACCTCCTCCCTCTCCTCCCCCTTCTCCTCCCCCAAGCCCTCACCTCCCCAACGCCTCAACCCAGGACCACCCCAAAAGACCTGACCCCCCTCCCCCTCATCATCTGGCACGGCCTCGGCGACACCTACACCAACCCCTCCCTCACCGCCCTGACGGAGGTGGTCACCCGAATCCACGAAGGCACCTACACGCACCTCATCCACCTGGGCGACGACGCCGCCACCGACCGCCGCAACACCTTCCTGGGCAATCTCACGACCCAGATCGCCGACGTCTGCGCCCAGCTCGCCGCGGACCCGATCCTGTCCACCGCCCCCGCCGTCAACGCCATCGGCTTCTCCCAGGGCGGCCAGTTCCTGCGCGCCTACGTCGAGCGCTGCAACGCGCCGCCCGTCCGCACCCTCATCACCTTCGGGAGCCAGCATAACGGGATCACCAAGTTCCAGGCGTGTCGGTGGGGGGATCTGGTGTGTTTGGGCGCCGAGGCGTTGCTGCATGCTGGGCGGTGGAGTGGGGTTGTGCAGGGGGGTTTCGTGCCGGGGCAGTATTTTCGGCCGCAGGCGGGTGTTGGGAAGGGGTCTGGGGTTGACAGTGGGGGCGGAGTGGGATATGAGGGGCTTGAGGGGGAGG